AAACTTTCGCAATAACTTTTGAACCATGAGAAATAGAGACTTCAAATTTGGTATGCATATTCCACTAATTAAGTTCTTACAAATGACACCAAGGTCAATGACTTTGACTGTGACCTACATGCTAAAAACAGCCTTTTTTAAACTTTGTTGCCATCGGGCGCATAGTGTTTCACAAACACATCTTGTTTTTTAAAGCAAATATTAGAATAGAATATTCTATAATTGAAACGTTATTGTCGTATGGACCAGTGATTAGGGTTTGTCCAGAGACACATTTAGACACATTTGGGTAGTACTACTTCAGTAAACATGTTTCACACCAATTACTAGGCTGTTGTTATAAAACTAAACATTATTTTAATATACATGTACATGTATTCTATCCACCTTATCAATATACATGGCAGTTATGACCAATCACCAGGGGATGCTAACTCATCCTTAGATCCAACCTTGGGTCTGAACCATTTACAAAAGGGTTCATGAATTTCACAATACTATAAGCTATTAAACTTGGTATTTATTATAATCAAGCAAAGAATATGTCGGCTAAGTGTATATAAAAAAGCAACCACAAAAATAACTGGAAATCTATAAAAAAGACATCGAGTGGTGGGGGGGTGGGTGGGGGCTATGTCGAAGCAAAAGCAGTATAATGTGAGGGTTCCAGCATATTTCAACAACAAGAGGCCCATGGGCCACATTGCTCACCTGAGCACCAAGGGTAGGACTAGTATAAAATGGCTTTTTATTGTAAAGTTTAAATCCAAAAGTAGTCCCATGACCAATAATTGATTTGCTATATTTTAGAAAATGATTGAGAAGAAGATTTTTAAAAAATTTTCCTATATATTTCTATGTAAAATGAGAAGAAGATTTTAAAAAAATTTTCCTATATATTTCTATGTAAAACTTTGGTCGGCCATTTTGGCCCCGCCCTACCCCCGGGGGTCATGATTTGAACAAAATTGAATCTACATTACCTGAACATGCTTCCATATAAATATGATGAATTATGGCTTTGTCATTCTTGAGAAGAAGATTTTTAAAGAATTTTCCTATATATTTCTATGTAAAACCTTGGTCGGCCATTTTGGCCCCGCCCTACCCCCGGGGGTCATGATTTGAACAAAATTGAATATACACTACCTGAACATGCTTCCATATAAATATGATGAATAATGGCTTTGTCATTCTTGAGAAGAAGATTTTTAAAGAATTTTCCAATATATTTCTATGTAAAACATTGGTTGGCCATTTTTGCCCCGCCCTACCCCCGGGGGTCATGATTTGAAAAAATTTGAATCTACACTACCTGAGCATGTTTCCATATAGATATGATGAATTATGGCTTTGTCATTCTTGAGAAGAAGATTTTTAAAGAATTTTCCTATATATTTCTATGTAAAACTTTGGTCGGCCATTTTGGCCCCGCCATTACCCGGGGGTCATGATTTGAAAAAATTTGAATCTACACTACCTGAGCATGTTTCCATATAAATATGATGAATTATGGCTTTGTCATTCTTGAGAAGAAGATTTTTAAAGAATTTTCCTATATATTTCTATGTAAAACTTTGGTCGGCCATTTTGGCCCCGCCATTACCCGGGGGGTCATGATTTGAACAAACTTGAATCTACACTACCATGTTTCCCCATAAGTTTCAGCATGCTCCCATATAAATATGATGAATTACTTTGTGGCAAGCTTTGTCATTCTTGAGAAGAAGAAAATGTGAAAAGTTTAAAGAACGCCGGACAAAATGTATATATTTCGGCTAGGTGTAAAACTTTAAAGAAACTGAACTGAACACTTTACTCCTACAGCTCTGGTAAGTGGATGATACAAATACAAATAATCTTTTGTTTTGGGTTATAGAGCAATATATAGGTCATAGAGCAAAACTATTGGCCAAAGAGCAAAATGTGGGTCATAGACCAAATATGAATCAAAGATATAAAAAATTTGGTTGTAGAGCAAAACATGGGTCATAGAGCAAAGTATGGGTCATAGAACAAAATATTTGGGTCTTAGAGCAAAATATGGGTTACAGAGCAAAAAAGTTGAGTCATGGAGCAAAACTATTGGTCAAAGAGCAAAATGTATTTCAGAGAGCAAAAGATAGATCATATAGCAAAATATGGGTCATAGATAACTAGGTCATAGTGAACAAGAGGCCCAAGGGCCTTGAATCGCTCTTCTGATAAATTGTACAATCTATCACTTCTATTTTTAACCTTAATATCTTAGTTGCATCAACTGACAAAGTTTGAATTTTCTGAAAATATTTTTAATAATAAAGCTATAAAAAACTATAGGTACATCACAGTGACCTATATTAAGATTGAAGTTTTCTGAGGACTCAAGATGCATTAATAAACAAAGATTGAAGATTCTAAGCCAATAAGTATTTGAGATATTCAAAAATAGGTCACTGTGACTTATTTTTTGGTCGAAGTTCTCTAAAAACCAAAGATGCATCAACAAACAAAGTTTAGTGATTCTAAACCAGTTAGTACCATAGATACTTAAATAAAGCCATAAAAGTTTCACCGTGACCTAATTTTTGGACAATTCGAAAACCCAAGATGCATTAACTTACTAAGTTTGATGATTCTAAGCCAATAAGTACCATATATACTTAAATAAAGCCATAAAATGTCAAAAGTAGGTCACTGTGACCTCGAAAACCTAAGACGCATCAACTCACAAAGTTTGATGATTCTAAGCCAATAAATACCTATGTTTATTAAATACTGCCTTTAATTGTCAAAATTTAGGTCACCATGACCTAATTTTTGGACATCATTCTCCGAAAACCCAAGATGCATCAACTTACAAAGTTTGATGATTCTAAGCCAATAAGTACCGTATATACTTAAATAAAGCCATAAAATGTCAAAAGTAGGTCACTGTGACCTACTTTTTGGTTGTCACTCTTTGAAAACCCAAGACGCATCAACTCACAAAGTTTGATGATTCTAAGCCAATAAATACCTAAGATACTAAAATATAGCCATAAAATATGAAAGGAGGGGACATCATTCTCCGATAACCCAAGATGCATCAACTTACAAAGTTTGATAATTCTAAGAACGTATATACTAAAATAAAGCCATAAAATGTCAAAAGTACAGACCTCTGGTAAGTCACAAAGGATGATACAAATACAAATAAAAATCATAAAATGTTTTGTTTTGGGTTAGTAGAGACCAATATATAGGTCAGGTAATCAAAATATGCCTTTTATCAAAAACAAATGGCCAAAGAGGTCACAACCTAATGTGTCCCAAGATGCATCATAGACCAAATAATGATTAAATGTTTTAAAAATAAGATATAAAAAATTTGGTGACGTTGTAGAGACAAAACATGGAACTATGTCTTCAAATCAATTTAAAGCAAAGTATGGGTCATGATGTGAACAAAATATTTGATGGTCTAATAGTAAGCAAAATATAAATGTTTTTATTATTTGAGTCAACAAAAAAGTTGCCCCAGGGTCATGCCTTGAACAATTTTTAATCTTCACATAATCCTGAAAATGGTGGTTCTGGAGAAGAAGAGCAAAATGTATTCTCAGACTGGAGCAAAAGTAACAAATTTATGATTCATATAGCAAAAAATGCACACCGCACACCGCACAAATGGTCATAGATAACTAGGTCATAGTGAAAAATATGGGTAATGGAGCAAAATACGGGTCACAGAGCATTTGTTTTACAAGATTTCAATCCTAAATTTCAGCTAAAATCACATGTGAGTAATTCAGAGTAAAATGCTGTCAATACAAGTTGATCGTGATCCCTGACCTCAAAACTAGAGTTGATATTTTAATAAAATGTACAAAGCTTTATTACCAACAAAGGACAAGATAGGGTAAGACCAGTATTTGGCCACCAATTTTGGCTGTCTTTCAGAATAATCCAACAGTTTATGCATAATAATCTGTTGTCTCCCCTGCAACAAAATGAGCATTGGTTCTAAGATTAAGAATATACAGAGGTCACAGAAAGGTCAGGAAATAGGTAAATTTTCTCATTTTTATACAAATTTTCGTTTTTACAGCACAATTTCTTTCAGAAAACAGAGCACGATCTTGCCTATCTACCAAATTTATACACGTTATACACTAGTAGTATAGTAGTATCAGATGCAGTTTATTTGTATAAATCTCATATAGGCAAGCTTGTACTCTATGTTTTCCGAAGAGAAAAGTATCTCAAATTTGATGAAATTCCATCAGAATTGAGGAAATCTGGAAAATCCTACTTCGGCACCCTTTAGTGGCTTCCATGCAAGCTTTGAATCTAAATTAGTGCTTGTTTTCCAGTCACCATCATTTTAACTGCAAACTATCACAATTTTACCAGAGTTCTGATTTTTATATCAAATAAGGGGCCAGATTCCACCGTTACCCTATCTTGTCCTTTCACAAAAGTGTATTTAATTTAGCATGTTTTTAGGTATAGTCTTCTTAAAGTCAAATACATGTATGTGGAGATAACAAACTGTATTCAAGCTCAAAAATCCTTTGCACACTACTAAATAGGAACAGAGCAAACAAACACCATCAAAACATTAGAGGTGGGATCAGGTACCATGGAGGAGTGAGCATCCCCTGATGACTGATCACACACAGTGTGTGCTTTTACTTTGAATTAGATTGATAAATGATAAAAAAATTACCTCTGATATACATGTATATATAAAGAAATACTATTTTTTAAGATTTACATATATATAGATTTTTAAAATTGCATGTACAGTAAAACACACTTATATTATATAAAAGTGTAATTTGTTAAATCTGTTAAGTTTACTAAATATTTCAAAGGCATAGGGTATGAAAATCACTTTCCTGTATTTGATATAAGCATGCAGGCTATGGGTGTACATGTATTACTGTATTTGACTACCATAGGCAGTATTTGCAGGGGCACATTCTATCCTACTAATTCTATGCTGTGTAATCCAGGATTCATCATAACAAGCAGTATTGCATTGTGGTACATTTTTTTAATATTCCACACACATTTGTCTTCAATTTTTGTTTTAATCTAAAATACAATGCAATCAAATAGGAAAAAAAAAACACTGTGATATGACTATAATTCTTTGGCACAAAGAAATCTTTCTTTACCCTATGTTTGAGGGCAACATACATTTCATCAGAATCAAACTGTTTGGTTTATAGTTGACAAAACACATTTTCCACAGAGCAATAAATGTTTTGTTATTTTACTATATATTACATAAAGCTAGCTTTAGGATGTATACATAAATACACACACCATAATATACACTCCCATCCTGTATTCATTATTGTTGGAAAATGAAAGTAGTCTGTAACATATAAACTGGATAAGTCATAGAGAAATGATATGATAACTATGAAATAATAATATGCATGCCGATGACATTCTTTAGAATTGTACATCAGAACAAAATTGTCAGATTCAAACAATTAAACATTAACACAAGAATCAATACATGTACAAAGTGAAAAACCAGCTAAAGATAAATATTTACACTTAATAGTACATGTATTTTCCCTACAATACTACAAATGTATAACTAGGTATTAATAGCACCATTTTTTTCACACTATTTCATTTAAATTTGTTGGTAGATAATTATTTACACAATCAAATATTTTACAATACCAGGTATTAAACAGCGATTAACCAGTTACAAAATGTTGATGGAGTGTCCATTCCTATTTTACACACTCTTCGTAGCTACTCTAAACATCTCCAATGTTTAATGCTAGTCAGTAGCAGCAATATGGTATTAATGTATTTCCAGGGCAGAAATAAATACACAACTGTACTCTTACTTTCAATCACCACACTTAACTTGTATTTACAATATGCACACACATCCATATCTTGAACATTCGGAACCCCTCAGTCCTCTAAATCGCTCATCATGTAATCAACCTTTTCTGGAACTCTTTTACATCCTGTCACAGAAAAAACTTCCAAATCAGCTGGATAATAACTCAGTTGTTTTGAGATCTTATATACTATTTCATCTGGTATCTTGTCTCGTTTGTAATAATTTTTGGCCACTAGGAAGTCTTTGATACATTCTCTGACATGTTTCCTCTCCAGCGGGAGAAACGGTACATAAGCTGTGATCAGGTGCTTAATTATAAGGTCACATAGGTACATACCACCTGTAAAATAAAACAGGATAAAACAACTATATCAGTTAGGATACCTAACAAGCACTTGTTGGGGTGCCATAGTGGGAAGGAAATCTATACATTTCAAGTTTGAGTCAGGTTTTGTTTGGAGATAGTCCGAGATATCATCACTCCATGGAGAGCTGCATAATGAAATATACACACTACAGTCTGGAACATTGAGCAGTGAGGGAATCTATGTCATGCCAGTATTTACTGCAAAATGGGACCTCAGTTTAATTTATCCAATCCCAAGGACTGGTCCCCACATCCTACATTCCAACCCATCTACTCCTAGCTCTAACCACTGCACCACATGGGGAATAGTTTGATCCAGGTCAGGCCAAGGGGAAAGAAAATATGCTTTGGACACAGCTATTCAGTTTGAGTTTTTTGACCTTGATTTTTTATCTTTACTTCAAGGTCAGTACATACCCTCCATCTTTAGGACTTTGAAGATGAATTTTGAGCCTGACTAGGCCAAGGGGAGAGAAAATCTTTTCTGATGAAATTGGAGCAGGATGGACAGATGGATAAATCAACAAATATTACAATAGGGCATAGGGATGTGCGATTTTATCATTATACTGGTATATCGTGATTTTTTGGGAGGTCAACATTACCGCTACATTGCCAAAAATTTCAATTCATTACCGCTACATTTTGTCAGATTTTCGACCGATCATTACCGCTACATTTTTCCGGCAAAAAACAACTCATTACCGCTACATACTGAATCAGCCAAAAACAACTCATTACCGCTACATATCGATTTAGCCAGGTAAGTTCGGTTTACATGAGTTCTAATCAACAGAATTCATTCACTATCTAATCAGAATGAGTTCATATATATAAATAACTCTGCAGTCGAAATTTAATTATTTAGCTTCATCTGAACATTTATGGCCACCATTGAGAAGTTTGTTACAAATCGAGGAAATGCCGGCTTACTTATCGATTCTTTATAAATTTAGAAAAAATAAGACTTTCAAAAACTCAAAATTGTAGAGATGCGTTGAAAAGAGTTGCAAAAGCAGCTGCAAAACAGACCTCGACGAATTACATGTATTTGTTGATTTTAATTAAAAAAAAAACATCCTCTTCAAAGTCCTTTCACCTTTCCATGGTGAGCAGGAGGAACGGGTCTTATGTACATGTATAGGTTGTACTGTACACGCATAAGTGGCTGGCTAACGAAAGAGGCAATGTAGCGGTAATGTATACTTTTTTATGTAGCGGTAACGTAAGGTTTTTTGTAGCGGTAATGACTATGTAGCGGTAATGAAAATTTTGAAAATGTAGCGGTAATGATACGCACCCGATTTTTTGTTGAGTGATATAAGTGTTGTGATATGGAGACCTAATTACTGGTATTTAGGTACATATTTTAAAGTCCAGAAATTATTTTTTTATATGTTTAATCTTTTAAATTACAATTACAGAAAGTCTAAAAAAATGTTGTAAAAGGTGAAAATGTGGCATCTTACCATCCAAACACGATTAATTTTATTTACACAAAAATTTCTAAAAAGGGTAATTTTGTTTTTCTAGTATGTTTTTAAGAAAAATAATGAATATTCATTTAAAATCATTGTAAAAATTGCTTGTAAAAATATCATGATATTATTGTGATATTTGAGAAAAAATTGTGCAATATTGTGATACAATTTTTTTTTAGCGACACCAATCCCTAATAGGGCACCTGCAGACCTTGGCCCTAATTACATAAATAGTATAAATCATAAATGGTGTTAGATAGAAAGATGTGTACAAGAAGTGAAGAAAGTAAATGTACAATATAGTTTAAAAAGTTCGAGTTTGCAATGTCTGATCATCAACCCAAACCAGTAAAGTTATCTAGATAACAGATGGATATAAATAAAGGCCAAAAAGGTTAAAATGCCCAAAATCTCTTAAGCACAGACAAAGGTATTCCATAGAAAACAGACCTCTTTGTTCCCTCTGAGATAAAATAACAACCAGGCAAAAAAAGGAATGTAAAACAGATGACATGTCTAACTTTATTTTGGCCAATATGGGATGGTATGCTTAGAATATGTAAATTTGCTGGAGAATTATTCCTTTTGAAATGTAAATATGGTTTTCTATAAACTTGCTTGATTTGGTGTTGACTGTTGCCCTGCTGATAATTTCTTCCATGTCCTTGAGTCCAATGTCTTCTCTGGAATTCCATCTGCTTAAGGTATGTTTTGATATTTCTTCTCCTGCTGTGTTGCTGAAATATATCATTGCAAAATAAAACAAAGACTTTATGAGCAACCATTGTATTACTGTATTTATTTTTGCTTACACATCCAAAAGTCTGAAGTATAAAGAAATAAGCAGGGTTGTCTCTAAAAATTGGGAACATTGAGGAAGTAGGATTTATGGGTTCAAACTGAGGGTGTGGAGAATTACCACAATTAATACTGGATGATATTTTAGGCTGGGAAATACTAAACTCTCCCACTAATGATACTTCTACACAAATAAGCAAATTTCATTTCACTCTGCAATTTTAAAACATTAACCTCTATTAAATATGTGTTTACCTGAGAAAAAGAAACATAGATTTTCTGTAATCTGTGCCAGAAAGCTGTTCATAATAATCCAAGTATGGCTTTAAAGTGTCAATTATCCCAGGTGGCATTTTGTCAATTTCATCAAAGATAAACAGAGACTGGGGACACTCTTTTACACTGCTCTCTACCAATTCTCGCAATTTATCCTGGAAAAAGAAACAAAAATTACATAATTATACAAAACTAAGTTTTTAATATTTAAAAGTTTTTGTCTCTATGATGATATATGCAAATTACTGTATGCTTTAAAGACAAGTGCCCTCAGAAAAATTTCAAAATTGAAAAAAATCCATTGTAGTTTTACCACTATTAGCCATTTTTGTTATAAAAATCTTCTAAGCAAAAAATTTATTTGAACACATAAACATAGGTAATCAAAGATTACGAAGCTCACCTTGACGAATGTTATCAGTGTTAGTAAGGCCACATAAAATTAGTCTTTAGATTCTCATCCTAATTTGCTAAAAACTCGGGGCGGGTGGTTTATAGATTTTATTTTTTATAATTGTTAAATTGTATAAGTATCAACAAAACATGAACTCTTCGTACACATTTTTTTTTCATTATGTCAATGGCAAAATGAATATATATTCTTATTATTTTCTTTCAAATATTTCAAGAAAATTATCGCTTTTAAATAATTAAATTCGTAGTTAATTAATTAACAAAATATCAAGTACACATATACGGCACATCCAGTGGGGATACCAATAAATTGTGTATGCATGACTTCTCATCGACCTTTCCCCAAATATCTTTTAGTTTTACCAACAAATCCCTCTGTTTTGTGTAAAATATTATAGATTTCCACCTTCCTAAAAATTTGATCGATCTTGAGACTTCACATATTCGACATTAAAATAGGTCATATTTGCAAAATCCATAAAATATTCTAATAAAATATTTTACTGAAAAACCTAGGCCTGAACAGTTTTAAGAGTTAACATTTAAGTCTTTCCTTAGCACTTCCTATTCTCAAAAGTCTGCCAATGATGTTTTATTTTTTTTCTTCAGAGTAAAATCAAACACAACTGGAGATCGTCAAAACTTGACCTGGTGTCATTTTCTTCCTCTATTTTATTTACTTAAAATCTAATTAAAAATTGCTCATGCCAGCGGTGGTTACAGTATCTAGATGTGTTTATGCTCATTTATTCTTCTCTGTCTTTTCTATACTGACAAATTATCTATTCCTTCAATATTTAAACTGCTTTTATTGCCGATTTTTCTCCATTCTTCACATGGCTCTTTTGCTATAAATAATAATGCGACCTTTAATACAGACGGGAGATAACTCTTAAACTTTGACCTAAATTTTTGCTGAAAAACAATAATGAAAATACACAAAAATCAAAATAAAAAACACCGGGGCGGGACATTTTGAGAGGGGCGGGCGGGGATGAGAATCTAAAGATTAATTTTATCTAGCCTAATGCAAACCTCACATCATATTTTCTTAATATCTAGTATTTATCCCAACAACAATATTCTTGCAAGTTGTGTTTAACCCCTTACAGGACATATACACATTTCTAAGCATGTAGCGTGAAAAACATGTATAGTGTAAACAAATATTCATAAATTTGTTAATACTGCAGATATCAAGGACCTCAAGTTCATTGGGATTAATCTGTTCCCAAAACTTTAACCTGGTCTCTTGTATGGAAAATATAGGTCAGATTCACCATCCGAAGCAAGTCTGGTAGTGTCCATCCCTAGATCATGTAGATGCATCATCCATGCAAATTTGGTTCAGGTAGGGCTAATAGTTACTTGGGTATGAAAATACTGGTCAGATCCAGCATCTGAAGCAAGTCTGGTAGTGTCCATCCCTAAATGCATCATCCATGCAAGTTTGGTTCAGGTAGGTCTTATAGTTACTTGGGAATGAAAATGTGGGTCAGATCCAGCATCCGAAGCAAATCTGGTAGTGTCCATCCCTAGATTCATCATCCGTGCAAGTTTGGTTCGGGTAGGTCTCATAATTCCTTGGGAATGAAAATGTAGGTCAGATCAAGCATCCGAAGAAAGTCTGGCAGTGTCCATCCCTAGATGCATCATCCATGAAAGTTTGATCCGGGTAGGGCTTACAGTTCCTTGGGAATGGACCTGCTCCAAAAACTTTAAGCTGGTCACTCATCTGGAAAATGTAGGTCAGATCCAGCATCCGAAGAAAGTCTGGTAGTGTCCATCCCTAGATGCATCATCCATGCAAGTTTGGTCCGGGTAGGGCTTCTAGTTCCTTGGGAATGGACCTGCTCCAAAAACTTTAACCTGGTCACTCATCTGGAAAATGTAGGTCAGATCCAGCATCCGAAGCAAGTCTGGTAGTGTCCATCCCTACATGCATTATCCATGCAAGTTTGGTCCGGGTAGGGCTTATAGTTCCTTGGGAATGGACCTGCTCCAAAAACTTTAACCTGGTCACTCATCTTGGGAATGGACCTGCTCCAAAAACTTTAACCTGGTCACTCATCTGGAAAATGTAAGTCAGATCCAGCATCTGAAGCAAGTCTGGTAGTGTCCATCCCTAGATGCATCATCCATGAAAGTTTGGTCCGGGTAGGGCTTATTCTCAGCCTTATAGTTACTTGGGAATGGACCTGCTCCAAAATCTTTAACCTGGTCACTCATCTGGAAAATGTAGGTCAGATCCAGCATCCGAAGCAAGTCTGGTAGTGTACATCCCTAGATGCATCATCCATGCAAGTTTGGTTCAGGTAGGGCTTATAGTTACTTTGGAATGGACTTGCTCCTAAAACTTTAACCTGGGACGCCGACGCCGACACCAACACCGACGCCAACGCCGGGGATATAGCATAAGCTCATCTCGACTTCGTCAAGGTGAGCTAAAAACTGTGTCAAATTTGTTAACATCACCTCAAAACATTGTCATACAAATTATTTTTATCTTTCTTGTAAATATTTTTTATTAACTTCGATCTTCACTAAAATAAAAATACTTTGTTACTTTTCACTCCATTGACTTTCTTCCATTTTTTTTTTTTTATCGTTTTAGTACCTGTTCACCATATTCTGAGATCTTGATCTAACTAATGATAATTCAGAGGACAAATTGTACCAACAGGTGGATACCTTGTAAAGAGGAACCATGTCTTTATGTGGAAATTCTTTAGTAGCTGATATCAAGTGGACATATTTACTCCTCATACCCATCTTGAAAATGCTTTCTGCAATGATTTTACTGACATAATTCTTTCCTGTTCCTGTCCCCCCATGGAAGGAGAGGGTAAGTGCTTTCGATGGGTCCTTTGTCATGTGTGCTTTAAGATGCTTGATGATGATATCAATCACTAGATGTTGCCCAAAAAGTCGACTCTGAAGATCTTCTCGTAGAGCTTTATTTCATCAAATGCATTAATATAAATAATTTAATAGTGTACTTTAAAAATATATACCTTTAATTTCAAAATTTAATAAAACAGATTATTGGTATATAGTATTCTGTGAAGATACAGTATATTTATAAATCTTAATGTTAATCAAAAATGTTAAATATATTCTTTTCAGTTGATTTTTTTTTTAATAGAAAACTCTCACCTGTAGTGTTGAGATTGATCCATTTTGATGTGCAGCATTCTTTAAAGTGACACTTAATTGGCGTGAAAACCGTCCAGACTCCCGCAACCACTGCAGTCCCAAGAGCTCCGATGGCTGAAAATGGTTCAATCCCATATACACAAGTAAAAAGACAGCAAAACACTATCAATCTCACAAAGTTCATGTTGAAAAACCTGAAAACCCGCGACTAAACAAAACGAAAGTAGAAACTAAAAGTAAAAATTGGCAGGAATCCGAATCCGGATTTTCTAGAACATTTTAAATTAATTGATGTGTTCCCTTTAAAATCTATCTAAAATTTCAATGCCATAGTTTATGGAATAGTGTTACTGATATTTTTTCAAAAAGATTTTTATCCCGCCTTTGTGAAAAGAAACTTATTCCGCATCTTCATCATGATTTGTTCCAAATTTAGAAGTCACATGATCATAACAAAGATCAACTACAACGCAACAAAAGTGGTAAATATATTTTTATGTAATTTATTGTAATAGACTGGTATCAGCTGTACTCTTAAAGTACAGGGATAAATATATTTATTGATAATACATCTTTCTTGTCTCGAAAAAGGGTGTTCCTTTTGTTGTATCACAACTTGTAACAGATAAATGTTTACATTCAGCAAACCATAAGATTTGTTCATCTTAAAACCATGTCATTCTCTTGTGACAATATATGTATATGACTCACAGTGATGAAGACTGGGATACGTTTTTAGTACTAATACATCAATCCACCTGCAAATGATTTGACTATTAAAAAAATGGAGATTCAAAAACAGCATTGCATTAAGATCTGCATGTGACTTACGTTTGTTCAATATTTTTATTACTGAAACAGTATTACTGATAGCAAATATGTAAGCATCAGATAACATGTTAGCACAAGTTAATAAACATTTTATGTTGAATTAATCGAAACATCTATGTTTCTCTCAATCATGCAGGCTTACAGTGTTTTCCCTAAAAACCGGCTACCGGCCAAATTGACTGCTTCAATTGACAAAAATGCCACTTTGAAATAAAATTTTGTTGTAAGGTCCACAGAGATTTGTTCATAAACCTCAGCCCCTAGCCTGTTACAACTGATCTATAACCCTTTACTTTGAAATAACGGGAAAACACTGGGCTTAAGAAATATTAATAATTAGTTTAATGCAGACAAACTTTTGTAGCTCAAAGCTCAAACTGGACTTCCAATAAAATTGAGATATCAGTGAATTTGAGATAATGAGGTTTATATGCATTTATGAAAAGGTTTTGGGGTTTCAATTCAACTGTATATTGTATTTTTTTTCCTTTACAGACCTGTTGTAGTCCAACTTAAAGATGGTAGTACCTGTCTCTGCATTGAAGTCCATATTCTGCCTCTTTTTCATCCCTACACTGTTAAGCTCTGCTTACACAGGAGCATCCAAGACCTTCAGTGCTAATGCAGTTTCATTGGCAGAAAAAGCTGATCTATCCACGAGTATCAACTCAACCACAAATTCTTATAGTTCTATAACTTCTAATTTACCAAATTCCAGTAAAATCCAAACTACAACAAATGAGAAGGTTACCACCTCAGGAAATCCTACCACTGAGCAGTATACCACTAGTAGTACTAACACTACCTGGATGACCACTCAGTCAACATTTACACAGTCAACTACTGTGGTTACAACCACTGCCGATTCTGGGGACAACAGTACAGTTCCTCAGTACATTGGATTTATTGCTGCAGGAGTATCTGTCTTACTCTATGGTAGTAACTTTGCTCCAGTCAAGAAGTTTGAAACAGGAGATGGTACAGCTTTTCATTTTTTGGTTATTTTTACTTATTCCAAATTGAGTTTGCTCATCTGCATTTTAATGTAGAGAAGCAGCATATTTGTTTTGATTTCATTGATATATGTATTGGTATATAAGAAAATGACTTTTCATTTATTTAAGTATTATGCAATATCATTTTTGTTTCAAGTTAAATCATAATGAAAGCTCAAATAGACTGACATTGACTCTACCTTAACAACTGCTATAAGCTCATATATATAAACATGAACAGTAAATGCCTTAAACATGTTAAATGACAAGAGGATTACTGTCTTTGTTAAGATTTTCTGCCTCCCTTAGAGGACTTTCTTCCTCATTCTGTAATTGATGTTTTCTTGCCTTTGTAGGAATGTTCTTTCAGTGGATTCTCTGTGGAGCTGCCCTGCTGGTGGGAATCATAGTACAGGTGATCCGTGGTACACGACATTTCTATCCACTGGTGATGATAGGGGGGCTAGTGTGGGAGACGGGTAAGGCTTACAAAGGATTCAGTATATCACAGGAACTTAAATATTGACCTCAGCAAAGTAAATTTAATTCCTTGACATGTAATCAAAACAATTCTTGAAACAAATACTGTAAATGTATTATATTTGGTATGCACGATATTTGGCGGAAATTGAATTTTTAAAAAGTTAGCATAGATTTGATTTAGTGCAATCTTATTATGCTAGATATACCTGTATGATATACCAGGCATTTAGCGATGTACATGTATTTGATTTAGGGGACTCTGCTTACTGCCAAAATCGCTAATTAGAATACACCGCTAAATGTAATACATTTAAAGTATTTGAAGTGAGTTTTTTTGATTGCATGTTTTAATGGTCTGCGAAAAATAAAATTGAGTCCTTATTTTGATGAATTGAGATCAATGCAAGTCTGTGATTTCAGGTAACATTTGTGTTGTGCCAATCATTAAGACTATTGGTATGGGACTTGGCTTGTGTATCTGGGGAATGACCAATCTTCTCAGTGGCTGGGCCACCAGCAGGTAGGTTATATTATACAGATATTGACTGGGTATGATGGCAACATGATTTTTAGGACCTGAAGTTGAAAATGCCAAGAGGAACACTTTTAACTTCAGGTCTACAAATCATATGTTGCCCGAATCCCAGTCTATAACTGTTTTCTTATACTCTTCAATGCTCATTTAAGATTTAATCAATACATACTATATTATCAATTATTATATAGTCTATTTATAGTCGCTATATAATCTATATAAGCGCAAACAGTTCATAACACTACATATTCACTGGATTTTAGGCCGTATTCACCGGAGGGTCAATGCACGTGCAACGGCATTGTGACGTCACAATAAAAAATCAAACAACGTTGTAAACAATGGTTGCAACGGCCGCAGTGAGCTAGGTATCTGAGCAGGAAAACAATTATTCAAACTATTTCAGGATTATTTTTAACATTTGGACGTCTTACACACAGCGAATCTCGGAAAGGAAAACACGGATGTTACAAACAGTAATCTGGAGATATTTTTTTATTTTCAACAATGGAAGATCGCAAATGAAAATGGTGTCGTCATACAGCCTTCAATGTCTTATCTATTCAAATCCCGACTATATAATAAAACAATTATGGACTCTTTTGGTGTTGAATATGGTTTGTTATTCACCAGAAAAATATCCATATTGACCTCGGCTTCGCCTCGGTCAAAAAGTTCGCGAACTATCTCTATATTTAAAAAAACCACGATTCAGATCAGAATGAAATTTGGCACACATAAAGTCATACACATGTTCTATAAATAGTAGGGATGTCAAATCGGTCAATTTTTAATACTCGGTTACTGGGATGTTTTTCCGATCGAGTACCCGGGTACTCGGTAAAAGTGTAAATGAATATGAACAAGTAAACATTGTAAACTCTTGTAGAAATAAAACCACATGCTTTGAAAGGAGGTTTTTCTGTTGTAACAACGACGAGCACTTCGTGCCCGATGAAATTTAATATAGCATCGTTTATGTTCAATTTATTCATCAGATAAACACAAGAAATAAAATCATAAGTAGTTCACAGATTTTTTGTTTCAAAAATTAATCTGCTCCGTATATTGTAATGTAACTCTTTGTTGCGTTTGACGTCCAGGTATCAGTCCTACAGTTTAACTTGAACTTGATCAAGTTCGCCTAACAGAACGGATTTACGGTTTTAGTACACTTTTCGAACATTTTCTAGTATTATGGGATGGTATTTTGTAGTTTGGTGCAATGATGGACATACATGTAAGTTTTTTTAAGCCTTTAGCTTCAACCATTTGTATTGGCAGGTAATCAAACACAACCATATCAACAATCGCGCGGACAAAATCATCTGTCTCTTTTCCCGAGAATTTTTAAAAGACTTCTCGCAGAATTAACAAGATTGTCAAATTTATTAAATCATAATAGACCTTAAATGATGTTCATTGAAAACAAATAATTAAAGTTAATCAAAAATAAGGGTAGAAGACAGTCAAAGGTGAGAAAAGCCAGGTTACAGGTGCTTGGTCACGATAATTACTGTATAAACATTGCCACAGGCGATAATGGTCATTTAGAGGAGTAGGAAACCCTAATTACTGTATGTACAAGTGCAATGAGTATTTTACGTTTTAAAACAGATTGTTTAATGCATTAATAAATAAGCTAAGAAATATTCAAAAATATACATCCGAGTAACCAAGTACTGATTTCAGTATTCGATACTCGGACGTTCGATCGAGTACCCGGTTAACCGGGTACTCGTTGACATCCCTAATAAATAGCATATGATATGGAATGTTTTTCCCCATGTTTGTGACGTCATAATGTGAAAATGACGTCATAAGGTAGATCACTTGTGACAAAAAATGGTTGACTCAGTCGTATTTGAGAAACGAACAGCTGTAAAGTTAAACGTATATCTTGGAAATTTTTTTGTAGAAGTTTATAATAATTTGTATACGGTTTATGAAGACAAAAGACTTGCCAGAAGTTTTGTCATTAATTGGATTGATTGTTTGAGTGAAGGAAAGGAAATATTTAAAAATGATGTTTGTTCTGTTGCCCAGTGAAAGCAAACTTGGAGAGAGACCTATCCTTTGTTAAGCAATTTGATATAAAAGATCGCCAACTTACAGTTAGAAAAATAGATGAATATCTTTACAATGATATAATAATCAAATCCCTAAAATATCGTTTAGTTTAGACTTTAAACATATCAGATCTGATAAAGTGAAGGCACCCATACTTTATCCACATGAAATAAACGACACTCAAAAGACAGAGGACTTGGGTTTTGATGGTCACCATGCTCATTCTGCAAAAGGATATATCATTTTCCACCAATACTGTTTTAGAGATTAGGCTATTTCTGACAATTACACTGTTTTTGTTGGAAAAAATAACTTGCATGTTTAGAAATATAAGAGTCCGAAAAAACAACTCTTGCAGCTCTTAACTTCGGCTATTTCTGTGTCACCGATATTGATTGATGATTAATTACTTGTGACATAACAGTGACTTTGCGGTCTAACGATTCTTATGCTGGACTAGAAGGCCAGTCAATGAAATTGTTAGACCGGTGTAATAAACATTTCTTTTGTTGGACTTTTTATCAGTAATGAATATATATTATTATAACAGTAACTTGATCCGAAGTGTCGTATCACGTCGAGTTGACAGGAGCGGATCATCAGATCTAACGAGACGCGTATCGAGTTAAATATGATGATAGCTGTCAACGAGACATGATGCGGCTCTTCGGATCAAGTTACTGTTATAATGATAAATTTATTATATACCCCCTTATAACTAGCTAAATATAGCAAAATGAAACTTTAGAGATATTTAATATTTAAACATAAAACAAAGCATAATAACAATGGACTTTTTAACGCGCAAGAAAAATAACGTCACGTTTATGTGTACAACGTCATCAGTTTCAGAGAGTGGTGATATGGATTCAGAAAACCACAGTGTGGTGATCCGCAAAGTCGGATCACGACGTCACGTGATTGCATTAATTCTACAGTAAAATTGAGTGATATACGTTAGGTATATAATAAATATATAGAAAGCTATTTATAAGGGTATAACAACATCACTTATCTAACAACAAACACAAAATAATAAGGTATATACATGTATAATATATTATACTTCCATGTTAAATGATAAAATCTGATTGGTTTGGATGCATTCAACAATCCGTAATGTTACACTCAGCATTAGCAACACACTTGACAATCGGTAACACAACAAAAATGTCATGTGTGCAAAATCATGCGCATATAGTATATTGGGTGATCTATTCTGTGAGTAAAGATGAGATCGTCATTTAGTATCAGATGATGGGTACACCTTAGAATTCTCAATATGTCAGTTGTTTGTTAAAGAAGTTGCAGAAAATTGTCAATATAAATAATATCAGAGAAAAAAAAATTGGAGAGGGCTACATTATTGCAGCTAGCGAGTGCACAAATAATGAAACATTAGGTAGTAAAGGACTCCCTGAGTATCCAACAAACAATAAAGAGGACCGTCGATAACGGTAAATCTTTATCTTAGAACTAAGAATGGAGCTAATAAGATTCTGATATTTGTATTTTTAGCTCACCTGAGCCGAAAGCTCAGAAAAGTGAGCTTTTCTGATGTCTGTCCATCCGTCCGTCTGTAAACTTTTCAAATTTTTGACTTCTTCTCAAGAACCACCGGGCCAATTTAACCAAACTTGGTACAAAGCATCCTTTGGTAAAGGGAAATTTAAAATTGTTAAAATAAAGGGCCATGTTCCCTCACAAGGGGAGATGATCAAGAAAAGAAAAAAATAGGGTGGGGTCATTAAAAAGTCTTCTTCTCAAGAACCACTGGGCCAGAAAAGCTGAAACTTATGTGGAAGCATCCTGGGGTAGTGTAGATTCTAAATTGTTCAAATCAAGACCCCCATGGGTTGGACGTGGCCACAATAGGGAATCAAAATTTTACATAGAAATATATAGGAAAAAAAATTAAAAATCTTCTTCTCAAGAACCACTGGGCCAGAAAAGCTGAAACTTATGTGGAAGTATCCTGTGGTAGTGTAGATTCTAAATTGTTCAAATCATGACCCCTGGGGGTTGGGCGGGGTGACAATTTGGAATCCAAGTTTTACACCGAACTATATAGGTAAAAATTGTTAAAAATCTTCTTCTCAAGAATCACTGGGCCAGAAAAGCAGAAGCTTATGTGGAAGTATCCTGTGGTATTGTAGATTCTAAATTGTTCAAATCATGGCCCCTGGGATAGGGTGGGGTCACATTAGGTATTACGAGGGGGAAATCTGGTAAAAGAACAGCATGGTCAAAGCTACTCAGGTGAGCGATGTGGCCCATGAGCCTTTTGTTTATGCTTTATGACACATGCCTTTTAATTCTCAATTTGATTAGTTCATAAAATTGTAACCTATGATTGGTAAAGAGGAAATCCAAAGTAAACCTCCTAGCACTTTGGAGGTGAACTCACTCTGAGCTACCCCTCAGGAGAGAAAGAATCTGGACCAGTCAGAGAGCATCCAAATCCATCATTATGCAGCTTTCTATAGAAATCTTTTTTTTCTTGCAGATTTGGTTTGTTTGGAGTGACACCAAGTGATAAGATAGGAAATGACACTCTTAACACTGTTGGAGTGGTGATAGCAGTGTTCAGGTAAAAAATTAATAATAGTTATATCAGTGTCACCAGATTTATAATGGATACTTTGAAATTCTGTTCTATGAAAAAAAACAGAATAAAACATTTTCCAGAAACATATATACAACATATATCTGACTTTTCCATGACCTTTTATTATCCTTCTCTTATATGGTTTACATGTTTACATGTGGATGTACAATGTATATTGTTCCTAAGGACATAACAATGAAAAGTCAAAGTCTTAGAGAAACTGTAACTGTTTTAAAACACAAAGCTCTTTTTTCCTTTAAATGAGAACAGTATTGGCATTTTATAATCAGAATAAAAATAGTATTAAAAGTTTTTCTGATTTGAAGTAGCTCTCAGGAGTCTCTAAATGTGTTCTTATTTCAGCTCAATCATTTTTGCTTTTGTGAGGAATGAAGTTACCCCGGTAGAGATGACTGAGTCAGAACCACTTCTCAACAACACAGTAAGTTCTCTACTCCCTGTTACTATAAGTTCTCTACTCTCACTCACTGCAAGTTCTAGCTCCATCCCCAGTTATTGCGAAGTCTGTATTCTCAAGTATTGTAATTACTGGTAGGTTCTCTATTGTATGTAATCGTAAGTTCTGCATTCTATTTATCTAAGTTCTTTAAAAAAATATTGCCTGTAATTCATCATATTCATTGTTAGCTCTCCATTGCATGTTCTTGTGTTCTCTATAGTCTATGCCTCTTATTGCGAGTTCTCTATTACATATTGCTGCATGTTATTAATCTCTGTATATCTCTTATAAGTTCTCTACTTCCTTTCATGGGAAGGATGTTTTTAATTACAATGAATATAAATTTGGGTTTGGAAGAATACCAGTAGCTTTGGTTTATATATAAATTTTTTTTATGGAGGATTAGGTTTGTTCTGATCAATGTATTGATTTTGTTGAATTGGTATTGACTCAGCTGGGGAAAAAATTCACTGATTAACCATAAATTATTGATTACATAAATGCATTAACATATTTTTCACTTCTGCTTTAGTTTGGTCTTTTTGTTGTTTTACCAGTAAGTAGCACAGACATTGTTATACTTTGTCTGCTTGAACTCCCATAATTCCAACATCCAATAAAAAAAATATCCAGTGATTATCATTTGCATTTAATAATGGTGACTGTAAAAAAAGATGATTGTTTGTTAAAACATTAATGAAAATAATAAAAAAAATTCATGATTTTCTGTAAATGTCTTCCAAATTAATTAATTGTACTTGATTATGATTTAGTAATGATCAATTACAAAGTAAATCAATATTAACACTGTAGAAGGGGTTTCTTCATTTTTGAACCTGTTTTTCAATAATTATTTTCCTGCTTATTGGCTTACAATATTATATTTACTCCTAAAAATACAAGATTTAATAATAAGTGTCAAAGTTCATTGATGATTCCTTAGCCATTTAAAATTAAGAACTATGGCTAAAGTCTTTCTTTTTTAAAAAAAATATTAAAAAGTTACATACCAGTAGTCCTAAATTTTGCATATTTTTCATAATGTTATGTAAAAATGTGGTTAAGTTTTGTTCAGAAATATTTTTTTAAGGGAAATATTAAACTTATTAAATTTGAGACATATGTCATTATGTCATGTGCGTTCAAAGAATGTTGCTAAAGTAAAATATTTAATTGACAAACTTTAATATCTGGTAATTACCTTATTTTGATGAACCAGAGAAACTTGCTTATAACATTATACTTTACATTACAAACATCTACCAAATGCATGTATCTAAAGAAAAAATTGAATATGTTATATTAATCAGTTTGATTGTTATCTTTCATAAGTTTTTTCCTCCATTTTCTAAGCCTGCATGCCATTTTCAGTACAATTTTCCACCAGTGCTCCTCTAAGTAACCAGGGTATAACCAGGGTATAAACTTGTGTATTTCAGCCCCCAGGACAAGGTTATGGCTCACCCGGTGACTCCCTGTACAGTAACTCAAACAATCACGATCAGTTGGTCTTCAATCAGAGAAAAGTAGGTACCATCTAGCAAAGGATGACATTTACTCAGATGATAAAAGTATACCAATGATAAGAAAGAAAACCACCTATTACACTTGATAAGAACCAAAATAATACAATGTATTGCACATTGTACGACTATGAGTTGTGTGTTGAATTTCAATTTCAAATAACTAGGTCAAAGACCTACTTTCCAAGCTAGTGGCCCCTGAGTATTTCTTAGAAAATATACCTCTGTCAATTTTTCTGACTATAACCATTTTTTTCTTTACTCACAAAATATTACAAGCAACAAAACTCTTTCAATGATGAAATATAATAGGAATGAAACAGCGTTGCTTTATATAAATAAACGAGTAGAGTTTGGGCTTTAAATTTATTAATTATTACAGTTCGAATTCCCTTTGTCAGATTTTTATTTTTTCCCAATTTTAATCTTATATTACAAAAACGAAACCTGAGTAATTGTCATCCTTAAGGAAAAACCAAGAAATCAGGTCAAGTGACCCCCTCTACAGTAACACAAATGATCAGTTGGTCTTCATTCATAGAAGTGTAGGTACCATCTTGTTAAGGATAAACCCAGAAATTAGGTCAGGTGACCCCCTCTACAGTAACACAAATGATCAGTTGGTCTTCAGTCAAAAAAGTGTAGATTCCATCTTGTGAATTAATGGTAAACCCAGAGCTCAGATCAGGTGGCCATCTCTACCGTAACACAAATGAATCGGAGAAGTGTAGGTACCATTTTGTTAAGGGTAAACCCAGAACTCAGATCAGGTGACTCCCTCTACAGTAACACAAATGATCAATTGGTCTTCCTTCAGAGGGCTTTCATAATATTTCACAGGTATATTCCTCATGACAAGATTTTCCTATTAGTACCAACAATTTTGACCTTTTGACTTCAACCTTGGAGTTTGACTTACATTTGAGAAATTTCAACCCACGCCATAATCTGTCATATGGGGGGCATCAGTGTTTTATAAACACATCCTGTTTTAGTTTGCAATTATATGCTTTAGGAACCATGGGACAAATGACTACAGAAAATATATGACCACATACAAATTGTAAATTAATACCACATGAAGAAAAATACTTGTACAGTAATCACAAAAAACTTCAAATTTACCTGGGTAACTCATCACTATGGACATGCACATCAAATCATTTGTTTGTCTTCTCTGGAATTTTCACTGCCACAGGATTAGTAGATGCATGTTTTTTGGCACTCTTATTATATGAACTTACCAGAGGTAACAATTGATTAAATTTGTAACGAATTAGAAGTTTTTATCTTTTGTACATTGCTTAAAATAAGTTTTACTGTTTTGGTCAGTTTGTTTTTCATCTAAGAATATACATTATACAATGTGGCTGTATCTCAATGTTCTTTCTGTACAAACTATAAAGATCCAAATTGGCAAAGATGCATACTTCTTTTTTTTCATGGCTTGTAGCTCACAATGTAGTTTTTATTAGGTAGAATCATGGCCTTGGTCTATGTTGGGTTTAACATATAAAAGGGTCACAGAAAAACACAGGAAGTTTTGCAAGAAAAAATCCTTGTGAGTAGTTTGCAGAATTGACATCAAGTTGAACTGTCATTTTAAATTTTTTTAATCATGAATCTTACCTGGTAAGTTTAGAACCTAAGTGAGGATTTCATTCATCAGCATTCATTTCAAACCTGCTGTGACTGATTGATATGCATAGGCCTCATGAAGCTTAAATTCAAGTCTGTTCAAGTCATCGTCTCTCGGAAAAGGTTGCAGGAGAAAGAATCAAATATCAACATGGAATGAAAAGAAAATCCTCCTATCAAGCCTAAAGTGGCTCATATGAGTGTAGTGGCCCATGGGCCTATGTTTTCATGAGGGTTATAGAACTTTGATGGTTGTTCACGTTCTCATTAACAGTCGCGGGGGAGCATCAATAGGGATCCTACAGACACAGAGGACAACACCTTTATAGACAGATTGTCACCCGTCAATAAAAGAATTCTGTAAGAATATAAAAATCTATCTATAAATGGAAAGGTTCTTAATCTATCTATAAATGGAAATATACTGAAATTGTATTTGATAAAGCATTACTTCTTTTCTATCACTATAAATCTTATACTTTCAGCTAAAGGACAAGAGATCAAGACTACATGTACATATTAATATAATCATTTTATTCCTTAATTACCTTCCCCTTTCAAATATCAAAGACCATAAAGTGTTGTCTAAACAAAAGTAAAAATGTTTAGTTCACTTTTAGGGAAAATGTCTTTTATGTATGTTCTATCAGTTCCTATTTCAAACAGCCCCCCTTTTTTGTAATCACAGGGGCATTGTACTCTCGGTTGTGTCCGGGGTTCTGTATGGTCAGATGTTCACACCAGCTGTCTACCTTCAGGACCAAAAAGGACACTCCGAAAATTGTAAGTTGGTTATTCAAAATATGGAAAACCAATTACATTTTAGGTTTTTTTTTCAACTTAAAAATATTTTATAACAAGGAAAAAGTAACTAATGTTCCTCAATAAAAAAACCTGGTTATTGTGAAAACCCAATCAAAATATGCTCTCAAGATTTTTCCATCTTGTATCCAATGTCATTACTCCATTGTTCAGTGAATCTTCACAATATTTATATTTTCTAAACTGGATTAACTGTACCAATTCTTTTTGACAGCTTTGGACTATGTATTTGCTTGTTTTTGTGGGATCTACATAACAAGCACTGCCTATTTCATTATCTACATCATCATTATGAAGAATAAACCTAAGGTATACCCGAAGGCTATCCTACCGGGGGTGATTTCCGGACTGATGTGGGGGACAGCCACTGCTGGGTGGTTCGTAGCCAATGAAGCATTGTCCCCAGCTATTTCATTCCCCATCATCTCCACAGGACCCTCCATAATTGCATCATTATGGGGAATTTTTGTATTTCGTGAAATTAGGGTAAGTTCAACCTTGATATATATAAAATGATTTCTTAAAGTTTGATTAATAGTTTAAAGATGAACATAAAAAAATCTACTTTGTTACTTTCACAGAGAGATAGATTTTAGTTTAGTGTTATCATCTGAATAAGCTTGCAGGTACATGTACAAGCATTAAATATTTGTTAGCTGACATAATTCAAAAAAAGATTCTTATATACTGTAAACATATTTTTTCCACTGGGTCACAGTTCCGCAGAATCATAATTTTTGTTTTTGTAGATTCTTAAAATTGCCATTTATATGTCTTTTATTTACTTTTTGTACTCTGGGACAAATATCTGTAGAAAAATTCATGCTGCATACATAGAGCAAAATTAATACAAAAAAAATCAGAAAAAAGTACATCTACTGTTACATGTATATGAAGTAATTCCTCAAAATTAAGTGAATTCTTTTGCAGGGAGCAAGGAATATTTCTATTCTACTGCTGGGCTTCGTCTTTGTTATAACAGGAGCTACCCTGACTGCCTTGTCCGAGAAAAAATGACGGAATCTTCAGTCTAGTTAGGTTCCTTTTTATTTACAATACCTCAGTAAACTTACATACATAATACACTGAGTTTTATACTGTGATCATTATTTTTTGTTCAGTATCAGAAGAGTTAAATAATTATATGGGATGTTTTATGTGGTTTAAGCTGTTTTATGAATTATGTTTTATTTGTGTGTAAGCAAGTCTGTTGATTGTGTATACCAAGCATTTACATATTTGCTGGTATTCTTGCACCCAAGCTAAAGATGCACATTATGTAGGTTGTAGTTGCATTTAATGTGATATTTAATCAATTTAATGGTCTCGAGAAGACAAACACATGTACATGTATTATTAAAGACGTAATGTTTTATTTAAAAGGGTTTTTTTGATGTTTGGGATGGTCATATACAAATTAATTATCTGAATCTGAATGTACAGTCATATATGTTAAAATTATTGCACTTAACGACGTTCGATCCTGATATTTAAAGTCTTAAACTTTTTTTACCAAGTATATTTTTAGTTTCTACATACATAGCTTAATTAACATTCAAATAAAAAAATGGGGGTCAATATGCTTCTTTTAGCGCTACAGTACATTTAATATGACCTTTCTGCACTGAAATTAGTGTCTTTATTAAAAATTATACCTTCGACGTTTTCCCTCCAATATTTTTATCCAATTAAAGCATGAAACAAAATGAACTCTAAGTCTGTTTAAAAAAAGACACTTAAAAATTGTGACTAAGAAAAAGTTTCAAATTGCTTCGCATTATCAATTATTTGACCTTTCTGCACTAATAAAATGTTATTTTTCCGGGATTGAAAATATAATAAGCAAGAAAATTATTTTAAAGTCTTAAACTTTTTCTGATTTTAAGCAAATAGGTCAAAGTTATCTTGAATATTTAGAAAAGAACATCAAAAGTGGGGGTATATGATGAACATTTTCAGATATTACTAAAAAAAGTGTGAATTTTACGTTAAAATTGGCTCAATTTTTTCCCGGATTTTCAGAATATATTTACTATATTTGTCACACTTTGCTGATAGAATTCATAAGAAATAATTTAATAGATATTTCAGAACCAGCATAACACATTTCACTGCAAAAACAGCTTTGTGTGCAACCAGCATGGAAAATTAGGCATCCAAAATTAAAAGTACTGTTATAGTTCAAATGGAAAAAAACTGACCATTTTCGTCGAAAAAACCTTCCGCCACAAAGTATAGTCCCTAGCTTAATTCTACTTGAATGGAATTTAATCGCAGTTTTTTCATTGAATATAGTTTAATTTGCATTGTAGAATTCAGTTTTATTGTTAGAACCTAAAAATGATGCTTAATTTTATGAATAAAGGACGTGCGCGAAATACGGTCAAAATATCAGGATCGAACGTCCTTAAAAGGTTAAAAAGAAATGATTAATTTAGTGATATATTTTTTTTTTATTTCTTAAAAGTTATTTCTCTAGAAATATCTTTTTCTCCTTGGTTTAGTAAATCTGTCCAGTGAGGCAAATATTAGTAGAAAAAAAATCATTTTTTGTAGATTTATTTGTGTAGCATTAAACTACATGTACTTAAGGTTCTACAAATGAAAGGGGTATACAGATGAAGTATTTATCAATACATGTACCAGAATAATGATGTAATTAATACTCAACAAATCCATCTCAAGAATTTTGAATAAATGCTCTTTTAGGTAACTTAAGACATTTCATAACTTGAGTATGTTTTAAGATGTAAGTTATGATAGAATTATTAAAATGATTTTTGCAAAGAAATTATCATTGTGACATACATATATGAATACAGTAGTCAGTACGCATTACATCAGGGAGAAAATTTTGAACATTTTTAGTTTTCAGTCCAAAATTTTAAAATCAATGCAAATGCCAGGTTCACATATGTTTAATTTTTTGGTTTAAATGAGAAATATTTCTCTCTTTGTTTGTCAACAAAATAATTTTATTTTACTATGTATAATGTATGTTAAATTAAATAGTGTACAAATATATTGTTGCTTCTAAGAATGATAGTTTTATCCATCCCCACTGTTTCATTGCTTGTTAGTTCATCTGAGCTGTAAAGACTCAACAGAGCTTTTCTGGTCAAAATTTTCCATTGTCTGTCATCTTCAGTGTATTGTCAAGAGGCATAACTGAAAATTTTCAAATAATTGTGCATTTTCTGTCAAAAGTGTGAGATTAAGTGTATCGGTACATTAATAAATTAAAAAAACATTTTTGGATGTTTGACCATGTCATTGGACAGTCATAAACAGTTTTGACAGCCATTTTTCAAAATGGCTGTCATGTGCCACAATTATAACTTTATACTTCTAAAAACTTAAATAGCTACTGTATTAAAAAGTTTAGAAATATATCTGTTGTGCACATACTTTTTAGCTCACCTGTGCTTAATCCTTTGATTCTTGTTCAAAATGAGCTCTTGAGTTACCATCTCTGCCTTGTGTATATCAAGTTTTAAGCCATTATATCACACTGAATTGTCTACGGATATTTTCGTTTACCCATCAAGACAAGCAGAACACAACCATGTGACCGATCCACAGGGAATGCCTACTTTCACATGGTACTTGATCTCAACTCTGATGTTGGTGTTTGCTAACTGCTCCAATTTTGTAATATTCTTTTGGATATTGGAGCTTCATTACTGCTGGAACTGTTGTGTGCATTGTTACAACGCACTTTGAAAAATTCCGCACTTTGAAAATGTTTTTCAAAGTGCGTTAAATTTGGGACCAAGTTGACGCACTTTGAAAAAATTAAATTTATTTTCAAAGTGCAAAGTAAAATATAATGCTTGATCAATATATATCCTTACAAATAATCGGTATGATACATAATTGACCCTGGTTGGATAACTTTTTGGTGATAAGGTCACTTCAGGACCTGAGATATTGACGTTTTAGATATTTTAGGTTTTGATAAATATTATAAAAGGGAAATGCGTCTTTTAGAAAAAATAAAGAGATGATTGTTTAATATCATTATTTCGTCGCTTTTTAAAATTTCTATAGTGTGTTATTAGTAGATGTAAGGGGGGGGGGCTAAAAGTGAACGACTTAAAGCATAGCATTTATCTTAAGAAAAAGGGACAATTTAATTTTTCAAGACTATGAAAATTCTTTCTCATAAGTTTTACTGTACTTAAAAATTTCTAGTTTTCATCTGTTTTAAGTTAATTAAGTTATCATTGTTCAACGTCATATCGGTAACATAAATACATATTCATTGTTTGGGTATAGCATAGGCATCGAAACCGGGCGAAGGGCAAGGGGAGGGGGCTTAGCCCCCCACTTATTTTGGAAAGATATACATCATATGTATATATATATAGGCATTGATTTACGCAACTTGTCCTTTTTTGGGTTTATTACTCCCCCGTTTTATTTGTTACCGACGCCTGTGTATTGAAGAGTTAGACTGAGAGACCTTTTACCCCCTTTCTCCTCTTCTCGTCGGGAGTAAATCAATTCATAAGTTTTGTGAAAGATGAAATAATACTGAAATAGAATTATTCCATTACTAAAATCTAAATCCAGAATGTTTGTTTTTACATATTTTTTTTCAAACTGTGTTAAGAGTCTCCATGGTAAAATATATTGATGTAAACTCTTAACGCACTTTGAAAAATGTTTTCAAAGTGCGTTGAGTATGTCCCAAATTTAAGGCACTTTGAAATAAAATTTCAAAGTGCGTTGATTTTGTCCAAATTTTAACACACTTTGAAAAAATTTTTTCAGAGTGCGTAATTTTTTAAAAGTGCGTTGCCACAGTGCATTGACCTTCAAAAATGTCTACAGCTTCGATCATTTTCAGCTCTTACATAGTTTCCAATCTGTTGCCCGTCTTAGCGACACATCAGAAAACTTCAGAGTAAACAATGAAGAAATGGATACCTACCAAGACCGTGTTCTAGGTATTTCCCATTGATCTGGTACAAACTCTTATGGGTGCATATATCAAGGATGAGAAACTGTTTTCCTTATCAGTGAACCATCATCAGTTCTTCTCTGCTGGAAGGTAGTTGGGCCAGATATTCATACAGGATTTGCATGATGGTCCAACAGAAAAAAATGCGAGTCTACATACGTGTTTGTAACAGATGTTTGATCTCTTTTTTGATCAATGACTAGCAATCCCTCTGAAAAACGGAGCTATGATTTCTTATTTCTGAATATTATGACGCTTGCAGGCCATTCTGAAGAATGTTTGAATAGAATTGGGAAAAACTCAAGATCAAAAGTCCATAAAACCATAAGATAGGTGCAGAGCAAACACAGACCTCCAAAACATCGGAGGTGGGATAGGGTGCCATGGAGGAGTGAGAATCCCCTGCCGACCAGTCACACCGTGTGCTCCTTGTCATGATCGGGAAATAACGGAAAATCCGTCGTCAATTCAGTGTATAAATAATGGGTTAAGTACGAAAAACATCAGTCAGCATTTGACTCAATGATAACTTGTATTTGCTGACAAGGTCATTGTATCGACCATAGAACTTACGAAACGATGACCTTAAACGAGACAGCTGAAATTCTTGTTTCATCAACTTGTTTGTCAATAATTTACCTCGTTTTAGAAATTGTTCATACGTAAACTATGCTCTTTTGTATCGAATCAACTGAGATATATAAACCCCGTATGCAGGTGAGGAAGTTATATTGCTGCATAGGTAAGGGAAGTTGACGATAGAAAAGTTAGTCGTCATTTTTATCATAAAGTTTGTATGTTAGATTACCATTAACATCTTTTTCAAGTAAAATATCCAAATATGAAATAGATGTGGCAGACTCTGTGATATCTTTTTATCTTAAGCTCACCAGGATATATCGTATCGACATAATGAATGGAAATTACCACTGTTAATTGACAATACGATATACTCAGTATCTAAATGTCGAGTTGAAGGCCGCAACAAATGTTTTCTTCTTTTCACGCATAAAATTTTGCACAAATTCTGCTTCATATGAATACAAAAATAGGTCTGCTAATAACGGGGCGCAATTGGTACCAAATAGATTGTTGGAAGACCTGGTCTGAAAAAAAACACACATAGATATTTGTCAATCAGAAACTCATGCATCTTTTTTATGTCAACTTCAGAGTACTTGTTTATACAACCAGAATGCTTTTGCAAATGACCAGTGACAAGGTAAGTAAATTTACAAGTTCCATATTTATTGAAAAAGCAGCTGTCAATGATATCAAAAAGCCTGGACTTTAATTCATCGTGGGGAATGGTTGTGTACAAAGTTGAAAAGTCGTAAGTTTTTAAGCTGTTGATTTTGGTGAAATCTGATGATTTCAAATTGTCCAAAAGTTCCCTGGAATTTTTAAGTATCCACATCTGATTTACACCACTTCTTGAATATATTGTTGCACAGTACTCTTGAAGTTTTTTCTTCACTACTGTTCATATCTTAGTGGGGAGTAAAGAAAGACATTTGATTGAACAGTTACTAGAACCCGCTATGTATCTTTGTTTGTAAGGATTCTTATAAAGTTTTGGATTCCAATATATATGCTAGTTCAAATTCATTTTGGCTCTTTGGGTTATTAAAAAATACACGACTTACATATGATTTTGAATAATTTCTTCCTAAGAACGGGGACTTTGGGTATAAGTTCGATTACCACCTGTAGAATTAAATCCAAGATCTTCTAAAATACAATTTATATATAAGAGCATTATAAACGAAGACAATGGTATAACCTGCTTCTTCAGCAGGGGCCAGTACGTATTGATCATGTTATCTATCTAATTCTTTATTCACATGAAAAAATTCTTTCAAATAAAACAAGGAGACCTCAAAGAATTCTCTTAGCATAAGAATCAAACTCGTCTCCATTCTTTGGAGGGTGTATTCTACGATTTTGTAGTTTTTGCAATAAGGATATGTATGTAGGTTTTTCAATAAGAAAATGTAGCCCGAGTCTCAAATGACAAACTACTTGTATATGAGAGGAGTTGGGGATAAGAGATAGGTACCCCAAAGCGTATAACAAGTACAGACGGAAGGACAGACGTACATTAGACTACGGGGTACTCATCTCTTGTCCACAAATCCTGTTAAACTACTGAAAGAAATTTAATAAAACTTTCACTGGTTATTACCCCCCCCCCCCCGCTTGAAAAGCGGGAGGGTATATAGTAATCGGTATGTCCGTCTGCAGGCACGTAGCATCGATTTTGAAAGTGGGGGGCCAGCCAAAAAAACCGAAAATTGCCCAAAGTCGAAAAAACTATTTTTTTGGGGGGGGGGGGGATGGGAGGGGGTATAGGCAAACTTTTTTCACTACCAATTCCTTTCAATATCCATTTTTTAAGCTTACAATACTATATTTCCTTCATAATACTTTACTTTAGTATAAAGTTGGGGGGCCAACCAGCCTTTCAATGAACATTTTCAATAGTAAAAGTATTGTTGGCAAAAAAAGTGGGGGGGGGGGGGGGGGGCACCCCCCCTGTTGCTACGTCCCTGGTCTGAATGTTATGCTTTTGGGTATCATCTCTTGTCCGCAAGTCCTCTTATATCACTGAGTGAAATTTAATGAAACTTTCACAGAATTTTTATTAAATATTGCCATTGTGCACCTCCTATTTTACTTTTTGATCCGACACATATTTTGGATTTTCCGGCCACAGCAAAACATGGACTTTGCCACTATATCCATATGGGAGGCGGGGGTATCATTTAGTGAGCTTATTGCTCACAATACCCCTAGTTGTTACATATTACCATTATGCATCTCCTATTATACTTTTTGATCGGTCACATATTTTGGGTTTCCCATAGCAAAACATTGACATAGTCATTATGCCACCTTTGAAAAGTGGGAGGGTATGTCTGTCTGTCCGTCCATCTGTCTATCTTTGCGTCGTCTACGATTTGGGGTACCCATCTCTTATCCGCAACTCCTTTCATACCACTGAATGAAATTTGATGAGACTCACAGAATCTTTATTACGTATTGCCATTGTTTTGTGTCTCCCATGGCCAAACATGCACGCTGAAATTATTCTCATATTTGAATAGCTAAAGAATGCTGGGGAAAGTTGAGATGAAGACCGTCACAGACATTTTAAAGAGATGCTTTTAATTATATATGATAAAACCTGTGAGTTTTTGAAAAATTGGGAGGATTTATAGTGATCTGTACGTCCGTCCAACTGTTACGCTTGGGGTATCCATCTTATCCGCAACCCCTCTTTTA